ACTTTGTTGCTCAGGCTAGAGTTGAGTGCCGTCATAGCCTCCGCTCACAGCAGACCTCAACTCCTGGGTGCTCAAAGCAATCCTGCTGCCTCAGGCCTCCGAGTTAGTGGGACTACAGGCATGCGTCCAACCGCTTAATTTTTTTTTTCTAAATTTAGTTGGCCAATTTAATCCTTCTGTTTTAGTAGAGACAGGTGGTTCTTCTGCTCTGCCTCAGGCTGGTTTTCGAGAACTCCTGGCCTCAGCCTTCCCAGTATGTGCTAGGTATTACTGTGCGTGAGCCACCGATGCCAGGCCCCGAGAATGATCTTTTAAAAAGGGTAGTTGGTCGTGGGAGCTCTGGGCAGATAGATTGGGTGCCCTTGCGCCATAGGAGGCCAGGATCAAGTTGGTCCCAAGGGCCAGCTCCCACTCACCTCCTTCAGATCAGTTCTATTGATGTATACTCATATATGCCAAAAGCGCAAAACCTACGCGAGATCAACAAGGCACTTTGAGGACAGCTACTCTCATTAATCGCCTACGTCGCAGAAGATATTGATTGGTCAGGTCATATTATGGGGATCCTCGCTTGATTCTCTCTAGCTATATGGCCCCATAACTTTTCACATATATTAGATCAGTGCCACTTGCAAATGGGGTGTGATGGGTCAGAAACCTTTTTTTATTAAATTTATTTTATGTAAGAAAGTCATATGTGCTTAGAAATACAGGGAGACTCCATAGTGCGGATGAATGCAAGCCTATGTTATATATATGTGTGGTGTATCTCGAAAAATGGCCATGCTCCGGCTTCTGTTTATCCTGTGAATTGTCCATCGTATTAATCTATATCTCCTATATTTTATGTCCCTGTAAGATTTAAGACCTGGCAGCTAAGAACAACCTCACCTCTCCTTCTCTCACACACCCATCCCCTAAACGCGCCTTTCAGATTAATCCCATTTTCCCATCTCTCCATAGCCGCCGTATATTTTCCCGCAACAAATGTCCGTCTAATGTTCATTTCCTTCGCACCCTCCATATACTTGTGTATAGATTCAGGAGACATTTTAATCTTTGTATCATTCTGGTTGGTACTGTGACCATCTAACAATACACCTCGTTAACTGTCGTCTTCTACCTGAAGAAACTATATCCTGGGGCAACGTACTTGTGGGCTCCAATTATTCTACGTGAGGGTAGGCTGAGCAATGCATTTTTATACTATTGATGATTTTCGATTCCGGCCGAAAAGAAGAGCGCTAACTTCTTCTGATTCTTGTGGAGAGAGCAAGCCTCTGCTGTTTCTGGGATATATTTAAGTGCGAACGATAATTGTTTCTGAAATCTCTACCATCAAAAGTGATTTACTGACCTTCATGCAATCACTGACTCAGAAACCCTCTGTCATTGGCTCGGTTTGTCCCTTTTAGGGTGGCGTTCTGCCATCCCTCTGTTGTAGTGGACCCCCTTCCCTCTTTCTGTTGATGCGGATGCCACCACCAGTCTCCAGTTTGTGCCCTTAGCAGGAGTGCCTGCTGGGGGCACACGAGCAGGGCATCCTGCACGTGGCTGGGAAGAGTCAAGAGCAACGCTGATTCCAGAGGGATGGAGCTTGGATGCTGAATGAGTCCTTCTGCACTCCCTGCCTAAGTGTCCACTTCCCTTCTGCCTCTATAGTCTCTCCTTTAGGGTACCCACCTGTTTAGGAAACTAACAGTGCTATGGTTTAGAACCTAGGCCTTGCTGCGTAGTAGCCTTGGATTCAATCCTGGCTGTGTGACTTTATGCAGGTTCTTAACTTCTCTGAGTCTCAGTTGTGCTCGCTTTTGTGTACACGTGTTGTATCGATGCAGGGTCCTGTTACTAGCAGATTAGGAGTCGTCCCATCCTTAAACCTCTCTAAATGAAAGTAGTTCTACGGGACATAATGCGAAAAGCAACTTTTGGACCAATAGCCTTGGCTACAATAGAGTTTCTCACTGTTCAGCCTATATTGATAGGATATTACATGCTTTATTATATTTCTTTTATCTAGTGTGATCTCTGAGGTCGGTGATATGTGTTTATCCATGAAAGAGGAGATGGAGTTTCTTAGGAAATCCGCGTGTGAAGGTTGGATGGTCGAGATAAGGTCTTGATGTCAAATGTTCCATTGACTATGTGCCCGTGGGATATTTAAGCATTCGATATTTTGACCTGTATTGCATGCTTATCTAAACCGTCACTTTTTAAATTAAGCAGGGTGGTTAGACTATACGTGCAAGAAGTCCTTTTCATCTTCTACTGTATTGTCACCTTTAATCTTTCCTAATAACGAGGCATATCGTAAGTGTGTCTGCTATGGGATCCTAGACACTCAACTTCACTCTTAGAGAAGTTCGTAAGTTCCACCGCATTGCTAGACAACAAGGCTTCTCCGTTCCCTTATATGGCTCTCATTATGCTTCACGCTGCTGTCCCCGCGATCTGTGTGGTGTCTTCAGTACCCTTAAAATGTTGTGAGACTCTGTCTCAAAAAAAAAGTCATTCTGGGAACCAGAAAAACACACTAGATTTTTTGTTGTTGTTGTTCTACCTGGCAGGAATCAACGGGAAGCTTGGAAGATCTTTTGTTAAAAAAAATAATGCCCAGTGCCAACTTGGAACCCTGGGAAACTGAGTGGTCATTTCCTACAAAGGAAAGAGCTACTTTCTAGCAGTCTCCTTGATAAGGATAACCATCCACAGCTTCCACTCCACTCATCTACATTCAAAACAGATGCTGCTGCTACTGCTAATGATCTGTTAGCTGCTCTGTGGAAGCAGCTCTTTGTGTGCCCATTTCATCTACATAATTCCCTTGGAAATTCTTTTTTCAGATGAGGAAACTGAGACTTACAGGATGAGACACTGGTCCAAGGTCTCTCAGTTCAGAGGTGGCTAAGTGGGGATTTGAATTCAGTTCAGTCTGACCCTCAAATCCAAGTTCCTAATCACTACATTCTATTACTGCTGCAAATTAAAATGTAATCTTGCCCAATCCTTCCCCTCAGGGGAAAGGGCAGAAGGAAGAGGATGTGTTAAATAATTTCATCTGGAACTTTCTTTGAAGCTTTGAAAGGAAAAAAGATTTATGTTCTTAGGACAGAAATCTAGTTTTTTTTTTTGTTGTTGTTGTTTTTAATTGGCTAACGTGTAGTCCAGAATTGTTTTCTATGTCACATCAAAGACAATTTTTGTCACTTAAAAGTCATAATTTCTGAAATTTAGGTCCTATGCTCAATGTCCAAATTTCTAGTTTAGTCTGCAAGTGGCTGTGCCCAAACTTGGAAAATTATTGTTGTGGTGTTCTAATACTACAAGAGCCCTCAGAACATGCCTGGTGCACTGTTTCCAAACTCTTGGTGCCACCATGATAATTTTTTTTTTTTTTTGCCATATGTACATATTACCAGAGCTATTATATATATTTAGTATTTCCTTAAATAACTCATTTTTACTTAAGTAAACTTATTGTAAAAATAAACTATATCACCTTAAATGGTAAATCACTATCACTTGCCATTAACAAAAACTAACTTTAAAAAATAACCCTGTTAACTTCTTGTTAGATACTCTTACCTGCCTGACGCTTCCAAGCCTGTAGACTGCACTTTGTTAAAAAGTGAAATTAGCAAGTGATAGAGAGGTGTTAAAGACACACTAGCTCCAAACTGAGACTTGACATAATCAGAAGGATCAAGGAGAATTAAAAAGGGAAAGTGATTAAATTACTTTGTGTCTTGTCTTTGTAGCATCTGAGCTCCTCCAAGTGGTATGAAACCCACTTTTTGGGAAATAATGATCTAACCCAATTCTCTCATTCCAGAAACAAAGATTATGAGGTCCTGAGAAGCTGAGCCTACTTGTACCTTGTCCCCAGCTGGTTGGAAAGCTCCTGTAACTTAGAAATAAATGCTGCATTTAAGAGACCTCCAAAGCAAGCTCCTGTTCCTTGATATTGATGCCAGAACCAAGCTCACTCTTCTAGGCCATTAGACCCTGGGCAGAAAGCATTCAAAGACTAACAAGAGAAAACAAGGTGCCTTTTCTGATGCTTTCTCCTTCACCATCAAACAGCTAAGGCGGAAGGAAGTAAAGGTGACACTTCATCATGTATCTGTGGCTTACACATAAGCCCCCATCAGTTTTCCCCCTCTTCTAACAGTTTATTTCCTCCTTGGGGTGGGGGGAGGTGGGGAACGACAGGGTCCCTCTTTGTCTCCCAGGCTAGAGTACCATGGGTGTCACGACAGTTCACTGCAACCTCCAACTCCTGGGCTCAAGCGATCCTCCTGCGTCCCAGTAGCCTCCCAAGCAGCTGGGACTACAGGCAAGTGCCACCACATCCAGCTAATTTTTCTATTTTTTGTAGAGACAGGGTCTGTAGCTCTTCCTCAGGCTAGTCTCAAACTCCTGGCCTCAAGTGATCCTCCCACCTTGGCCTCCCAAAGTGCTAGGATTATAGGCATGAACCACCACGCCCAGCCATTATTTCCTTCTTCACAGCGGTTTCTGACTCCTCCTGCAAGACCACACCCAGAAGCACCCAAGACAACCACCAACCAGCAAGTAGGATGGCTGACAAGGTGTGAGAAAATGAACTAAGACCACCCAAACCTAATAGGATATTGATGAGCCAACCCATCCCTTCTCCTCCCCTGTGACGTCAAAACTTAAACACCATGAAATTGGAACTAATTAACACTTATGTGCACATATGGAAATAACATTCATTGGAAATTAAGCAGAAGGGAATGGGGAGGAGGGGATGGGTAAATTCATACCTAACAGGTACAATGCACACTATCTGGGCGATGGGCACACTTATAACTTTTGACTCAACTGGTACAAAAGCAATTAATGTAACCAAAACGTCTGTACCCCCGTAATATTTTAAATAAATTTTTTAAAGAAGTTCTTTTCCTTTGTCTTGTCATTTCTCTAAAAATTTACTGTTCTTTGCTGAAGGTGCTATATAATCTAGAATTCAAAGCCTGCTCTTTGAGAACTACTTGTTCTCTCGGTGACTCCCATGTATATATGAAATAAATGTTAATAAACAAACAAAAATAGTCTTTACCAGTGACCTTCATATTTGCCTGGGGTGGTTCTTACAGTCCTTCCTCACTTGGGGATTATGGCAACATAAGACAACACACTTGAGAAGGCAGCTTGCATTGGCTGTGAGTTCAGGCCAGAAAGCACCCAGAGGGAAGCTTTATTTAACCTTCTTGCCCTCAGGCCCACATCCATCTCTTTCCACCAACTGGCTTGTTCAGTTTTTCCTTCTGCATCTTCTTCCTCCAGGAAGATTCCAAACTTCCAAATCTGACAAGTGGAGGCAAGTCCTAAATATATATTTTTTTCTTTTTACCTTTATTTTTTTCAAGGTCCAGACATTAGCTCTTAGTTTTATTTAATTTAATCAGGTTGCCAACTTCTAATGGTCTACAGAAAGAGTACCTTAGGGAGATACTGTATTTCTCCTTACTATTTATCACCTCTGCTGCAAACATTAGGTCTGCAGAGTTCAGAAAGGCATTATTTTAAGATATGTCATCTCCCCGTATAGATGTTCATATCTATCCATTTTTGTAGGCTTTTTGTTTAACACTGATCTCACATCAAATATAAAGTAAGGCCTTAAAGTTGGATCTTTCGAAGTGTAGGCCAAGGGAAAGGCCCACTGGACCACTGGCCCCAGGCAAGGTCACCGCATGCAATGTTCTAACTTTAATGGGGTTCGCTTTGAACACCCCCCCAAATAGACAGTGTTGCTTCCTACCCTACTCAGGAACATGACTGGCTTAAGTCGACATTGTGGCATGCCAAGAGGTCAAGGATGGGGAAGGAGGAACCGACTTTTGGGCTCTTCCTCCTAATTTCTCCAAATTTGTTTCCTCAGTTGACAACGAGGACAGTCCTTGCCCAGCCCAGCTCCCACAGCTGGTGCAAGTTCAAAGGAGATAATGCATGGGAAAATAAATGACTGCTATATGAACACAGGCTGGCACAGCTATAAATTTAGTGAGCCCAATGAAAAAGGGAGGGAGTGTCCTGATTGCAAAGTACCTTCCCTCACTCTCTATATCCCATATGCCTACATATAGGTTTAAATTTGTTACATTGTGTATGTAAGTATGCTTAGCTTTTTTCCTCTTTATTTTTTCCAGGAACACTAGGGTATTTTTGTGTGCTAGGGGGTAATGGCTGCAAATGGTACCACTGACCCCAGTGCCAGAAGCCACGGTCATGGAGCTACTCCCTTATTACAGGACAGAGAGGTTACTGGCTTTTCTGGCTATTAGAAACAAGTAGGAAAGGATGCTAGATTGGAATCAGACAATTGGATTTCAAGCTCTAGCTATGCCACTCCCAGCTGTGTAATCATGGACAAATCATGAATCTCTCTGACCCTTGGTATCATCTTTAAGATGAGGATAATTATACTACAGTGAGTTAAAGAATATAAAAGTGCCTTGAAACCTATAAAATGCACAAATATAAACCATGAATATTATTGTAAATACTGTCATTATGAATAACTTTGGACACACAGCTTTCTCTGTCCTAAGAGCTGGAATACTGGATCCAAAGATTTGAACCTTGTCTTTTAATGTACACAAAGACATGTGTTATTTTCCTGCAACATTCACAGCATTGGGTTTTACTATGTCTTTAAAACAGATGCAATATCAATTAGGTATGAAATGGCACCTTATTATTCTTTGCCTTTTTCATTTCTATAATTCCTATTAGAGTCAACATTTTAAATAAGCTTTACTGTCATAAAGATTTCCTGTGTGTGAACTGTGTATTGCTATTTTTTGCCCATCTGTCAATAGATATCTTAGGCTATTTTTACATCTGTATAAACTATGTAACAAAGATATTAATCTTGTCTGTCATCTTTATTTCAAAAATCTTTTTATTGTTTTTTTTCTCTTTTTCCTGGAGAGTGGACCTATTGGTATTTCAAAAATCTTTTTCAAGCCGGGCGCAGTGGCTCACGCCTGTAATCCTAGCTCTCTGGGAGGCTGAGGCGGGCGGATTGCTCGAGGTCAGGAGTTCGAAATCAGCCTGAGCAAGAGCGAGACCCCGTCTCTATTATAAATACAAAGAAATTAATTGGCCAACTAATATATATAGAAAAAATTAGCCGGGCATGGTGGCGCATGCCTGTAGTCCCAGCTACTTGGGGAGGCTGAGGCAGGAGGATCGCTTGAGCCCAGGAGTTTGAGGTTGCTGTGAGCTAGGCTGACGCCACAGCACTCACTCTAGCCTGGGCAACAAAGCGAGACTCTGTCTCAAAAAAAAAAAAAAAAAATCTTTTTCAATGTATTAATCTACTTCTCTTGTCTAAGGAAGCATATTAAACATAAAAGAAATCTTACTGATACAGTATCATACAGTGTATTTGGACTGATTAATATTCAAGATTTCTAGGCATGTTAAGGATGCCCAGAAGAAATAAGCAAGGACAGGAAAGAGATACAACAATATGTCACATTTGGAAAACTTAGAGGAAAACTTAGATGGAAAACATCTAGCCAAGAGAAGGAAAGCACCTGGAGGAAGAGAGAGAGGGAGAGAGTGTACATGTGTGTGGAGTGAGCAGTTCTCGAATATTTAAGGGGATAACACATGAGTAAGTATTACTGTATAATATACATCTCCAGAAAGTACTGTTCCAATTAAGGAAGGATTTTTTCATGATCTCTACCAAACAAAGATGGAATACAGTTGTCCTTCAAGACCTATGGGGGATTGGTTCCAGAATGCCCGCAGATACCAAAGTCCACAGATGCTCAAGTCCCTGATATAAAATGGAGTCGTATTTGTGTATATCCTCCTATCTTTAAATCATCTCTAAATTACTTATATACCTAATACAATGTAAATGCTATGTAAATAGTTGTCATACTGTATTTTTTATTTGTATTATTATTATTGTATTGTTATTTTTTTCTGAATATTTTCAATCTGTGGTTGGTTGAATCTGTGGATAAGAAACCAGCAGATACAGAGGGCTGACTGTATATGGCCTCAGAAGGTTATGAGCGTTGTCCCTGGAGGTGTTTAAGCAGAGATGAAATGGATCTAGTAGTGAATAAGAATTAGGCTACATATTCTCAACAGGCCTTTCCCACTCCGAGGTGCTCTGATGCAATGACCCCGGGTCATTTCCTAGAGGCTGGTTTTGTTTGTTTCATAAATCCCCGGTTTTGCTACTCATTTCCTCCTCATCTTAAGAGCCAGAAAGAAAGAAAAAAAAAATCTAATGAATTTACTGTTAAGGTTTCTGGTTCAGCTCCAATTAATTGAAGTTTACTAATAATCAGGGCTGCCTTCTTGCAAAAGGACACAATGGCCCAAGTACAGAAAGTCCAGGCACAAGTGTTTCTAGACTTAAAAAGAACCACTCCTTTCCCAGGAAAGGGTCAGAAACCTGATTAACTTGTGACATAGCCTCTTCTACATTAGTTACTGGTGTCAATTTAAAAAAAAATGGAAGGCATTATAAAGCTCTGGCCTTCACTCCTGACAGTCCACAAGCATAAGAATAAATGGCAATGCAATCACAGCAATTTACTCATTTCATATGTGACCTCTACCCATTACCAATGCTGACAAATTATGGAAGGCAATTGCACATATACATCACAAATGAAGCAACCCTTCCAGATACACACACATCATTAATAACAATTACATTTACACAGGACTTTGCAAAATTAGGATATGATTGGTAATTTATTTTCATTCAGTAGTTATGAAACAATGGCATTGATCCAGGATTTTACAGGCAATCACTGGGTGTCTTGGGAAAAATGACACAATTTACAAATATCCAGATGGTAGTTAGGCCTTCCAGTTATTGGTTCATGTGGAAGGCTGGTAGTTAATGTAGATAAGCAAAACGACTAAGAGAAGAACTAACAGTGTCACCTCC